CTACTACCACCAGTACTACTGCTACTTCACTACTACTGTCACTACTGCTGCTGTACTCCTATTCCTACTCCAATTTCCATTTCTACTGCTGCTGCTTCTTCTTGTAGTCCTCCTTCTCCTGCTGTTGCTGCTGCTACTGCTTCTGCAACTGCAGCTGCTACTGTTACGGCTACGGCTGCGGCTACGGCTACTCCTACTCCTACTCTGACTGCGACTGCTACTGCTACTACCGCTATTGCAACCCTCACTTGCTTCCTGCTGCTCTAACGTGCAAGACCTGAAGCAGCCGAGCGTTACCGATGTCAAGTCTCGAGCTCAGGGCCTGGTAACGCCCACTGGCTTGGCCGGGCTCAGACGCTTGGGCTTTACCTTAAGACGGCCTTCACTTCGCGTGTTTCTGCTTGGTGCTTCTATCTGTGGGTCTGGAACTTCGGCGTTGCTCCGCACAGCGACTTGGGTAGCTGGCGAGCCGGAAACATGAAGTCCCGACTTCCCCAGCTCTCAGCTGAATCGCTCATGCACGGGCCATCCAATCTTCAGGCCTGCCTGCGGGGACTCCTCCGCCCGCCTTGGGGGTGCGCCCTGAGCCTGCGTTCGGTGGTTCAAGCTGGGTTAAGAGGAACCGTAGTGCAACCAATAATCATCGTGATACTCACAGAATCTTACGGATACAACGGCTAGGTTACTACTTCATCAACTCGATCAAGTTCTTGCTTGCAGTGCTTGCCTGCCTCCTTGCTTTCTTGTTGACAAAGCTGAACAAGCAAGCGCAGACATCACAAATGCAGGCACTCAGGTCGTAACATTGCTGAGCAGAATCACGCAGCCCACGTTCCCGACGCCCTCTGGTTCCATGAGCTTAACTGCTGTCTGCGTCACCGCTTCTCAGTCTTCATTGGTGCATCTCTGACATCCGAAGGGCTTGGCATCCCTGGCGGGAGCCCCGCCGCCCACGTTGCCTGGGCTGGCCGGGCTCTCAGGCACTAGGAACTGGAAGAAAAGAACGGCGAGCATGCAGCAGTTCCTTGAAGTTGACAGCCCGAGCTATTTTTGGCCGCTGCTTCCTTGGCCCAGGCTGGGTTAGATACGAGTGCGGCTGCGCATGAGCTGACCTCAGTTGAAAAGGAACTTCGCAGAGCGAGTTCGATAGCAAGCGTGGGACACGCAATGGCTGGGAGAGAACCGGGGCAGCAGCAATGTAAGATGTACAGGCCCATAGCATCGCACGTTTGCGAAGCTTAGGCTGCTGCATTGCAGGGAACCGACCTGAACGAGTGCCCGTAGACGTGGCAGGATTCCGAACTGTGATCTATTGTAATGTGTGTGCGTTGGAGGGCTGGTGGCTCGGGCGGGATCACAACCTTGGACGACCTGGGCAAGTTGAATGCTCTCGTTCGAGCTATCAAGCAGACTGTTGCAGGTACTACGCGCGGTGGTGGTCGCAGTACGGCACTGTCGCTGCCAAAGGAGGCGGGGCAAACAGTCTCAGTCGGCAGCGATATGCACCTTGAATCAGCAGCTGCTGCCACGAATGCAGCGCGTGCAGCAATAAGGTTAGGTTAGGATCGGTGTCGCACGTCGGGCGACTTCATTGGAAGTGCAAGCGGCAGCGTTGTCTCGAGGCGTGGACGAGACGCAGTCAGGTGCAGCTGTGCAGGCCTTTGCTTGGTCTCCATTCCTTGCTCCACATCATTATATATTATATTGTATGTTATATTTAACTATATTATACGATATTATACTATATTATACTATATTATACTATGTTATACTATATTATACTATATTATACTATGTCAAGTGGCAGAGGACGAGTCGAGTAGACAGATGCTGGATGCCAGGAAGCTCCGCCCAAAGCAGCAGCGTTTGACAAGGATGCCTTGAAGAAGCTGGCAGAGCAGGCAGGGAGAAAAAGATGTCCCAAAGAATGTTCAGATTGTGGCCAGCGTGCGCTGCTTTTTTTTCCAACCTTCCCCCCTCCTGTCTGTAGGGCTGTCTGTAGGGGACGTGCCTGGAGCGGGGCCAATAGCTTCTGCAAGAACAAGAGCACCTCAGCATCTCTGCATGGGATTGTGCCCATATACTATATCAGGCCGCGAAGAATGCGGAGCAGGAAGAGAAGGATGCCGCAGACAGAGAAGTGCAGGATAGGCTGGCGGCCGAGGCCGGGATCTTTCAGGGTCCTTCGATAGTGCGCAGAGCTGCAGGTGAGCCTGTTTTGAGATGCTTCATTTAAGTATCTTTACAAATATGGAAAAGGCTTGAAGCCCAGACGTTTCTTGCAGTTTCAGTTTGCGCAGAGAGCAGGAAGGTTGCATATATAGGCAGACATTCAGATTCGCAGGCAGCAGCTGCGCAGGCGGCGGCTGCACAAGCCCAGGCCCAGCAAGAGGCACAAGCAGCGAAAGCAGCACAGGCAGCACAAGCTGCCAAGGCAGCGCAAGCTGCAAAGAGCGCGCAGGCAGCACAGCAGGCTGCTGCTGCGCAAGCTGCTCAGGCCGCCCAGGCGCAGGCTCAAGCTCAGGCAGCGCAGGTGGCGCAGGCGGCGCAGGCAGCGCAGGCGGCGCAGGCTGCACAAGCCGCACAGGCTGCGCAAGCCGCGGCCCAGGTGCCGCCTCAGCCCCAGGTCATTCCGGCACCAGCGCAGCCACTCGGCACAGCTCCTCTCCCGGCCGGCGTTGGCCCGGGTGCCCCACCGCCACCACCACCCCCACCTGGCCAAGGTCCCGCGCCGGCCTACGATCTTGAAGCCTTGAAGCGGCTTGCAGCCGCACAAGGGGCTCCCGTCGCACCGGTCGCGCCGGTCGCGCCGGCGCCGTCGCCGCCGATTCCGGTGGTCGAAGTTCGACCACCACCCGCACAGCCGAAGAAGTCAATGGGCTTCTCCGGTTTCACCTTGCAGGCAGCCTCACCTGCGCCAGCACAACGAGACAATGACTCCGTGCAGAAAATGCTCGCCCGGCTGCAGGGAAATGTGCAGGGAGCGAAGCAAGCCTTGTCAGCCACAGGCCCTGCACCCAATTTTGGTGGCCAACTTCCTTTCGTTCAGGCGACACCCTTATCAAAGTTGGGGCCGCATTCGGGCCTGGGAGACGATGACTGGGAGCCTTTGCAGGAGACCGTGAGGACTGCAAGCGCTCGCAGTGAGGTGGAGGAAGCCGCCAAGGCCTTCCTCAAGAACTTCGCACAGATGAGTGCAGAGCAGCTTGCAGAGCTTCTCCACCTCATGGAAGCGAAGGCTCACTCCTACCCTCGGGACTTCTACACCGAGTTGGGCAGCATGCTTGGGCACAAGCTGAAGTCGGCGACAAGTCCACAGATCGCCCACATCATGAGTGCGTTTTTGTATTGGCAACCAGAGGGCAGGCAGCGGTTCATCGATTCAAGCCGGGACTTTCTGGCTGTGGCAACTGCTGAGGTTCCGACTCGGCTTATGGAGCTTGCGCCTCACGAGTTGAACACCTGCTTAGCTGGGCTGGTGTCCTTGGGCTGCTCGGACCACAAGTTCTTCGTCTCTGTTGGCAAGTCGGCCCAGGCTCGGCACAAGACCTTCGGCCCGAAGGAACTCACCTCGCTCTTGACCATCCTCTCCGAGGTCCGCCTGGTGCACTCCGAGCTCTTTGCCTCGGCGGCCTCAGCCGTGGCCCCCCGGGTGCGCGAGCTCCGGCCCGTGGAGGTGCTGCGCTGTGCGCGCTCCCTGGCACGCTGCGGGGTCAAGAGCGAGGCCTTCTGCCAGGCCGTGGGCGACGACGTGGTGGGGCGCTGGTCAAAGAGCAACTCGGGCTTCCGATGCGAGGATCTGGTGGATTTGTGCTGGTGCTTCTGCGTTTTGGAGCACTACCACCCCGAGCTGATGCAGCTGACAGTCCAAGTGCTGCAGGACACTGCAAAGGTCACAGCAGATGCGCTGTGCCAGTTTTACGAAATCCACCTCTCTCTAGAGCCACTCGGCATGGCATCGGAGGAGGACTTCGGTTTGGAGCTCCTGTGTTCTTTGGCTATCGTGAGTAGAATTTACCAGCCCAAGCAGCCCAAGGACCGAGCACAAAGAGCGCTACGCCTCGTTCCGAATAGACGACAAGGCGACGGGAAAGCTTCTGGAACACTATAAGGACCGCAGTCTGGGAGCGCGGACATCCTAGTTGCATCCGCGCTCTTGGGTTCCCGTTCTCCGCAGGAGAATCGCCGAGATTGTAGGCGGTGCTCTGAGAAAGTCCGATCAGACATCTCCGCAGCAGTGAAGGGCCTTCTAGAGGGCCATGTGCGAGGCTTAGCAAGTGACGGCAAGCGGTGTGCCAGGAATGTAGGCTAGCATCAGCTTTTCGTGCAACAGGTGCAAACCAACCACCGCACCAGTTTGGGTCTTCTGTCGGTCTGTGCCTCAGAGGCCACTGCGCAAAGCTTCATCTCTCGAGTGGGGAACTTGCAAGGATAAGCCGATGCCCGTAAAGCTCATGTACACTGTGCTTAGGACGTGGCAGCCTTGAGGAAGCGATCCTCTACGGACGGCGGAGTTCTCAGATTTTGCGACTGTAAGCTCAACAGGACTACCGGGACTGCATCGGAGCAACAGAAAGCTGAGAACATGACATTCAACAAGTTGCAGGGTGCTACTGTACCCTGTCCAGCACTGCCAGCAGTGTACGGCATGCGATTAGCGTTTGTCTGCACAGACCTATGCTGTCCTGTTTTTCGTCCCAGTCGACAAGCAGCCCCACTGCCCCACACATCATGTCAGATTTGTGGCCACCTCAGGGTATGTCCACATTGACATCGACGGTGCTTTGTCGCTGATTCGTCCTATCGACCAGGACCTTCTTTTAAGTTTGGTGCGCATCACCATCACTGCTCGTGTAGCTGTCCAGCCGGCAGCGATCCCTTCAGGATGAAACTGCGGGCCCGATTGTCGATGGCGCAGTGGCACTCAGGCGTCGCTTGCTAGGTTTTGCTGTTTCTGCCCACCTCTGCAAGATCGAGTCCTTACGCCGAGCATGCACAACATGCAGGCTCAAGAAGCGTTGACACACGCCGCTATCCTCACGGCGCCCCTGAAGAGTGCTGGAGAGTTCCGCTATGAAACGCAATGAGAAAGGCAGTAAGACATGTACACAACTCTGGAAAGTAGACCTTCTGCAAACTCCATGCTCTTCGGCAGCAGCGAGCTGCTTGCAGAGCACATGGCCTTCTTGAGCCTCCGTTTGGGGCTGCTGGGGCTAATTCAGGGCGGCGCTGCCCTGCAATCCTCCTACCAGAACCTTTCCGAAGCGCTTACTGAGTGCCGTGCCGGTGCCTTGGGCAGCTCCCGACCTCCCAAAAGCCGACATAAGCCGTAAGTCTGAAGTGCATACGCAGTGGTAGAGATGGAATTTCGTATCATGGCATCGTAAGTATTGCTTCAGTACTGTGGTGTTAGCTCAGCATCATTATCGACACAAGCACACACCACACCACATTATATATATGTATATATATATATATGTACATACATACACACATACATACCCACCTGCCTACCTACCTACCTACCTACCTACCTACCTACCTACCTACCTACCTACATACACACATACACACAGACACACATACATACATACGTAC